TGAACCAGCGCCTCCATGTCGCCGCCATCAGCCAGGTCGTGGTGGCCCCCATCCTCTGCATGTTCTGGCTGCTCTTCTTCTCCGTCCTGCGCCTCGGTAGGGAGAGCCTGGGGCTGTGCCCTGCCACTGCTGAGGATCCTGTCTGATGTTTGGGGGTGACGAGCCACTGGTGTCACCCTTGAGTTAGGCATGGCATGGAGGGTGATAAGGGTGGTGTGAAGACCTGGCAGATGAAGGAGGTGTCAGCTTGTATTTTGGGAAGGGGGTTGAGAGCTTGTAAAACCCAAAGCAGGCACCAGCCTGGGCCTCAGCTGGATGTGCAGCAGGTTCTTGGAGGCTTATGTGCTACCCCAGTGTCTCTGTGCTCTAGGTCCCACCCGGCCTGTCACCCTCTTCACCTTTGTGGTCCTCCTTTCCTGCATCATCTTCTCCTTCTTTGGCCTCTGCCTGAAGAAGCTGCAGCCACGGAAACCCTCAAGCTACCAGGTGAGCACAGCCAGCCACCTGCTCTGTTCCTTCACCCCAGTGCATCCCCTCCTGGCTTGCCCTGGGGAATCTGAGATAGCACCTGGCTGTCCCTACCAAAGCTGGGCCCTCCAAACCATGATGCCCTTCTCCTCAGATGTCTGACCAGTCTGAAGGCGCCTTCAATGACGTGGAGCGGAGCAGCGTTTCCTCCACCCCTAACTCCAATGTGAGTGCCCCTCCCCAGCCCTGCTGTGGCCATCTGCTCTCATTCCCCTGGTTTCTGATGGCCCCCTGCCCCCGGGGCAGCTCTTTGTGGCCACTGTCCTGCAGGAGCCTGAGCTGAGCCTGACGCCGGCAGCCTCTCCGGCACACCAGTCCTATGGCACCATGGGCAACCACCTGGAGCCAGCAGAGGATGGGGAGGATGGGGGGCTGCAGAGCTTCGAGACAGAGCTGGAGACCGTGGAGGGCGAGTACAGGAGCGGCCCCGTAATGGAGAGCCAGGCTCGCTACCAGTGAGCATCCCTGCCACAGCTGACACTGACTGTGCTGGGAGCGGAGGACGTGCCCTGGGGCAGGAGGAGCCTTCCTTGCACTGGTGGGGCCACCTTGCTGATGGGACAGGGGATGACAAGACTGATGTGAGGGAGAGACCCCATTGCATGGGCAGTGGCAGGAGGGTCTGATGGTCCTTCCTGTTGCCTGCACTGGCTGAGCCCCCTAGTGCCCCCCTGTCCCCACCTGCCTCTTGCAGCACACCGTGGGGAAGAGGGGGTGCAGCAGAATAGGGAGAGGGTCTCTCTGAGAGGCCATGCTTTTGGGGGCAGGAGAGAGGCCCTGTCCCCTCTGATAGGAGGAAGCAGCCCAGACAGCCCAGATGAATGTGCCTGCCACCACGCTGACCTCTGGGTCCTCAGTGGCAGGGGACAGCCACCCGTAACCCTTGCATCTCACCCCAGCCATCCACTGCTCAGGCAGCTGTCCAGCTGCCTCCCCTGCTGCTGGCCTGCAGGCTGCTGCCTGCCCCTCTTTGCCCATTTCAGCAGGGACTGCTGACATGCCTGTGCTTTGGTGGAGGAGGTGAGTGTCCCTACATCTGCCACCAGAGCCCCTACATGAGCACCAACAGCCCTGCACCAAGGTAGGCATCAAATGCAAGCCCAACTCTTCCTCAACCTCCCACCCCATCCCCCCATCTTGCTGCACAATGCCTGTGCCCTTGGGCTCTTGAGGAGAAGTGGAAGATCAAGAGACAAGTGTGTTTAATGGCTTTGAGGGCAGCTCCTTTTCACTCCTCTTCCCTGGCAGCACCTGTCGTGCTCATGCTCTCACTGGGGCTGCCCATGGGACCCAGAATAGTTCTGTCCTAATGCAACAGAACAGGGGGGGACAGGTGGAGGCTGGCAGGACCTGTACTTCCAGGTCCTCCTGGTCCACCACATCCTGCCTGCCTGCCCTTGTCCACAAGCTGTGGGATGCTCCCCCAGTAGCCACACTGCCTCTCAAGTGTGAGTCCTGCTGTGATTAGTATAAATGTGCCATTACCTGCCCAGACAGCATCCCTGGAGTTTTCCAGCTCATCCAGAGTACCTGTGGTGGCCTCTGGGGATGAAGGTTTATCCTCATTCTCCTCAGCTTCTCTCCCACCATAACCCACCTGGGCATGCTGGCTCCTCACTCAGCCCTGCTTTGGCCTCAGGGCTGATTTTCCTGTCCCTGATTCTCCTGCTAGCTTCAGAGCAGCCAGAGTTGCATCGTCCCAGGGCAGTGCAGGGAGGGAAGGGAGGAAGGCACAGCTCTGCCAGCACCAGGGCTGCTGGAATGCCAAGTGCTGTTGTGTGAAGGCAGATGCTCCTTGGCACTGGTTAGCATTAGCAGTGCCGCTGGCAGGAGGTGTAGTGTGCCAGCTCTGGGCTGGGGGGGAAGGTTAAGAGGCAGCCCAGCAGGGAGAGCATTAAGGGGGCCCTTAGGACGTTCCTGTGGGGCTGGTGATCTCAGCTCAGCCAGCTGGCAGTCCCATGGCCCCATCCCACCCGCGCTCCTGCACGCTGGGGCGGTGGCTGTGGCACCCTAGCCACAAAGGGGCTGCCTCGGGGGAGCCTTGAGCTCAGACACACCCTTCTAATCCCAAAAAGTTCCCTGGGGGGGTTGTGGCCTCGTGCCCAGGTGCCCCCGTGGCTGCCCACAGCTCAGCTGCTCCCCTCACTGCCTGCTCCAGAGGCAGCCCCAGGCAGGGCACGGGGATGCTCGTGGCCTCTCTGAGGGTGGAAGCAAGTGCCTGCTAGTGGCACTGTGTCCTCGGGAGCTCGGGCTGCTGGTCTGATTGCCCTTGGCTGCCCCTCTGCAGGAATGTGCCAGAGGTCTGTACCTTCTCGTGATTTATTGCTATGACCGTGCCTTGAATAAAATGACTTCACCCAGCTGCTGCCTGGTGTCGTCGCCCCCATGCATCTTTCCTGGCATTGGTTTAGGGAGAACCCTTGCCACTGGAGCCTTTTCCCACCTGTGGGCTGCTTTTGACCCTGCCTGGGACATCCTGCACATGCTTCAGTGGCAAGGAGACTGCTTGGACACATCCCCACCTCCAGACTGCCCACTATGATCCCCATAAAAACAAACCCCAACACGTGGGCAGAAGCAGCAGTTTCAGGAGTGGGAGGGCACCTCACTGTGTCCCAGATAGAGTGGCACAGCCCTTGGCACCATCCCCCCATTGAGGGTGGGCTGGGACACTCATGTGCCTTTCTTGCCCACCTTCTGTCAGCAGTCACTCCATTGGCAGAGCTGGCTCAGAACACCACCAAAGGTGCAGATGCTGCTTGAGGGTAGCACAAGGGTGGCCTGGAGCCCCTCTGGGACCACAGCAAGGGTCAGGGGCAGGAGGAACCCATCCCATCTGAGGATGGAGCAGGTGTTCCCAAGGCTGAACTACCCACCAGCAAGTCCCAGGGAAGGGGGTGAACACCATTTTGGAAGTCCTTCTCTAGATTTTGAGAGAACAGTGTTCTTTTCTGCCCTCCTCCCTCCCAAAATACACACTATTTTTTACCTCAGTTCCTACTTGAATGATTTGCCTCTGGTTTCAGCAGGTTCCTCCTGCTGGCTCCTCCTCAGCTTCCCTGGAGTGAGCCCTGCCACTCTGGTTAATGGCACTGGGCAGGAGGCGTGGGGAGGGCTTCCCTTTGGGTGAACACCTGGGAAATGTAAAACTCATCGCATGCCCCTACAGAGATCCCCCACGTTGGTAAGGAGAGGTAAACAGAGTTTTAGCACCGGGCAGTGCTGTGCTGGGGAGCTGGGCAGGGGCTCTGGCTGGGAGCTGTGATGGCCCCCGGCTGCAGCTTCCCCAGGGCCAGCTGAGGGTGTCAGCCCTGTCACACTGCACTGTGCCTTGAAACCCACTCACACCCCGCTCCCTGAGGGCAGCCTGCACTCAGAATCCCTCACAGCCAGGCCCAGCAATGGCATGGAGTCTCCCACTGTGCCAGCTGCTGACAGGCAGTGACAGGACCGTCCCCACTGGGCAGCAGCCACAGCAAAGGGGAGTCTGTGGGAGCTTAGCAAACCTCCCTGCTGGCACAGGCAGCCAAAGATGGGAGTGATGCTGGAGCCTGCCAGGCTGGCCCTACCCTGCAGTGCCAGATTTGGGCTCCCACCACCAGTCCTGAGACCAAGAGTGGGAAAATTAACTTTATCAATGACCCAAAGGGGGTATTTCTTTAAATTCAGATCTCTGCTGCCCTCCATGCCCTTCACAGCCCATCGCACATTGCCTTGTGGAACAATCCCATCCTAAATGGGCAGCATGGCTCTCTCAGGATGTTTTTCCTTCTCTCCTGTGCCAGGGCTGGGATTTCCAGCCTTGGAAGATGCTATTACAGACCCTGGCCTGGCTTCCCCACCCTAGGCACTATTCTTCCAGCATCAAGTGCCCGACTCTCACAGGGCTGGAAACCCATCATGTCAAAGCTAGAACATGCTAGAAGACAGAACCTCCTCATCCTCACCAGCTGCTCCCTGGGCAGGGCTGCTGGAATAACTGCAATTCAGTTATGGCAGGGTGGATCATGCTCCATGGAACCAGACAGGACTTCATAATGAAGTCCATGCTCTGCTGCTGCTGATGACCAGCACTGGGTGACCAGTGGCAGGTGACCAGCTACAGGTGAGCCTTTGCTATGTCAAAAAACAAAAGAAGTGTCTGAACAACAGAAAAGGGATTTTTAGGCTGATTGCTTAAAATTCTGATTCCCTTAGAGATTATCAGACTTGAAGGGTCTGAGCAATCAGTAGCAGGGTGTCTCTGTTAGCCCCTCCACTGCTCACCCACTCAATTACCAGGCACAAAAGCTCCCAACATGCTTTTGCTGGTGGATGCCTTCTCGTGTCAGTCAAGCCGCACTACACAAGTGCTCCCAGTGACCAATATCTCCAAAGCTAGAATCAACAAGAAATCAGTAAACTCCTCTCTGGCATCCTTTTTTTCTGGTCTGCTTGGGCCTTTTATATTAAAATAAACACAAGGCATCAGAAAAGGCGAAGACTCACTGTTGTTTTTTAATAAACAGTACAGCTGGGTATAAGAGGCACACAAACCAGTTCTCTTGGGAGTTACATAAAATGTGGCACAGAAGAGCAGACGTCAAGGAGCTGGGAAAGCTAGAGGGAGCAGGGATGGTGTGGGTAGTAACACCCACATCCCACCCATCACAGAGCTGCCTACTTGTCACATGGAGCCAGGAGGTGTCCCATGATGCTGAAGGCTGATGCCCCATAACAGGGTTGCAAAGAGGACATTCCCAAACCCTCGTGCCCCCTACAGTGCCATCAAAGCCCCAGCTCCTCCATCCCTCACTACTGGGTGCAAGAATTGGGAGGACTCCACCTGACTCAGCTGATGGAGAGAGTCATGGGCCAGGATGGACAGGACACCACCACACTGCAGGGCTGCAGGGGCAGAACATGGTGCCATGGGGAGGACAAGGAACACTGCCTGCTTCACAACACCTGTTAACTTTCCTCCAAACACAGCTGGGGGGCTTTTTGATGGTAGCCCATGGCAGGGCACTACAGACCCATCTTACAGAGCATCCCATCATCCCCTCCATGGCAGGGACCTAGGAGACCTCAGTTACATTGAGCAGGCAGCCTTCTCCTGCCCCAGAGTGGAGGACATCTGAGAACAGGAGGAATGTGTCTTCAGAACAGGACCATCTCAGACTCAGCACTGGGATCCTGCTGTCCTGAAGAAGAAGCAGAAAAAAGGGTGCCTCTAACTGAATAATTGCTCCATGTCCTTGTCTGGGGCTAACAGTGGCCAGAAACATTGTTCTGCTTGTTCCACAGTGACTTCCCCATAAAGATGAACTCTTCCTCAAAGTGCTCAAGTTCAGCCCCTTCACAAAGCCTTCAGGTGCTGCCTCTCAGCAGTTTTCTGGGATTTCTTCTAGCAGATGCTGTCTGCTCATTGCTGTGAGCGTGAGAAACTCTGCAGATGGGCACTGTGAGCAGCTGGGTAGCGCTCCAGATTCTGACAGCATCGGCAGAAAGATTCCAGCTCTGCTTCCTCTGGCCAAGAGCCAGAATTTCTGGAAGCTGTTGCTATGACACCATTGCAACCTTCATTTTAAAGACATCTTTTCCTTGGATTTAATTTATTTTCCTAAACACAAAGCAGTAAACAGACATTGCTACTGCTGCTGTTGCTGCATTTCAGATGGCTCTAAGGTTAAACCAGCTGGCCAAATCAACACAAAGCCTTTCAGCTGGCAGCCCAACCCTGCCAAAAGTAGTCTCACCTTGGGATTAATGTGACACCATTGCCTGAAGCATTCCTAGGAAACCTACTGGGTTGTGGCCAACCTGACACAGGGAAAAGCCAGGGATCCCATCCAGGTCAGAGGCAAGGAAGAAAAAAGCACCAGGATCAACCATCTGGTAGGGATATATTGATGAAGGGAGGGGGGAAAACTCTCTGCAAGGTTTGAGGACAGCCACACGGTGTGACCAGCCTTGCTGTCTTGCTGCCTTTTGACCTGGATGGAGCCAAATCTGTCACTGCCACAGCTGAACCAGGTACAGCAGCACAGAAGGACTGAGCATGTCAGACCTGGCAGATAAAGCACAGCAAATAGGATTTTGGGCAAATAAGCCCAAGAGGCCTGTGCCAGCTGTCACCTACCTGTGGTAGCAAGAGGAGGGAAGATGAGCAAGCTAAAACCCAGAGTAGGTACCTGGGTGTTGGCATTCCTGAAGGAACTTGGGGCAGGGTGGCATACCTGTGCTGCGGCACTGCCAGGCTTTCTGCAGGGACATGCCCTGCCGGCCCTGAGCAAAGGCAGACACACGCTCGTGTTGAAGCAGGATGGAACCAGGTGAGAGCCCTGCAGCAGTGTGAGTGGCAGAGGCAGCCATGGGCTGGGGCACACAGCAAGACAGAGGTGGGAGAGGCAGCGAGTGTGGTGTGAGACTCCCCGTGCTCAGGACCGCTGCATGGTCAGGGACAGGGATGGCTGGCAGGACCTAGTCCCCTTCTGGGAGGCTCTCCCAGCCACGTTGCATGGCTTTCACCACAGCACTGTAGAGTTTGCTCCAAGCTTCCTGCACCTCTGGGCTGAAGGCAGCACCAAGGCATTTCTCCAGCATGTACAGCAAGGACTCGCCGACAGTCTGCAAACCAAACAAGGAGGTGTCAAGCTCAGCACCAGAGGATGACATTCAGTGACTTGTCTCACTTTGCCACCTTTTTTGACTTCTACAGTTGCAGGGCTCCTGCTCCTCTTCCACCAACAGTACCAGGCCCCTCCAGTCCCTGGCTCATCAGAGGGGGCCCAGAACCAGCCCATGCCGTCCTCTTCCCCTGCCCTGTGCTGGCCCTCACCGTGGATGAGTGTGGAGTGGAAGTCAGAGAGCAAGGGCTGACACTGCACATGTAACACCAGGGGAGAGGTGCACATCCCGTTTCTGTGGCTCCCAGGTGCGGGTAGCTGGCCCCATCCCTTGGCACAGCTGTGGAGCAGCAGAGCTGAGCCGTGCCCTGATGTCAGGAGAGTGGATCAGACTCCATGCTGGATGCTTAGGGCATGTCTCAGCACCTCAGGCTTCTCCACAGGCCCTGCTCCTCACAGAGCTGGGAGCAGCCCCGTGCAGGAGCACCCTCCCACTGAGTCAGGGCTGGCGGCATCACTGCCCCAAACAGAAGGGCCCCTGCTGCCTCTGAAGAGACCACAAGCTAGCAATAGGAACGTGCCAGGTGTGGGTTAGAAAGCTTTTCTTCAGCCCGCCCTTTCCCACTGCATTTCTGTCCATGCTTGACAGCAGGAGAGGAGTGAACAAGGGTTTAATATGGAAGATGCTTGGGTGTTACTGGCATGGAGGAAGCAGGGGCTGATGTGCAGCAACCCCATCCCAGTGCAGACACAGAGAGGGGAGGTTCATGCTCCCTTTTCCAGGTGGGGTGAGGTTTGCCCAGAGCATCAGATGCAAAGGATCCAGGGCAAAGGCTGAGCCTGCAGCCCTGTGGCACAGGAGAGACTGCAGTGTCCTAAACCATGGCCCTCTTCAAATAGTGGAAATGCTTTGCTCCCATCTATCCTTTCTGCCTGGGCTTACTGGGTAAGGGCAGAAAACAAGGGGAGCTCAAAGGTTTCCCTCACTGGGGCAGTGGCACTACATTGGTATCAGCACCTTGGACAGGCTGCCCTGAGCCATCAGCTCTCTCCAGACAGCTGAAGCCAGAGGAAGGATGGGGCAGCTGAGGAATGCAGGCAGGGGTGAGCAAACACAGCCACAGCGAGACAAGGGAGAACACCTCACCGAGAAAGACTCAACCTTCACACCAACTGCCTGGTGCTTCTTGCCAAGGTTGCAGAGATACTCTTCCAGGCAGGACAAGTTCTCCAGGTGGCTCACAGCAGAATCAATCACCAGCATCACCTAGCGCAGGAGCAGAAAGGCAGAATGGCGTTACAGAAAGGTTCAGCTTCCTTCCCAGAGGAAACAAAGTGTCTGATCCACTACTTCACTCTTGTCAGCCTGACCCCCTCCCAGGCCAGATGCCCTCTGAGCTTTTCTTTGCTCTGCTGTGATCCATGTGTCCCACCAGTGAGGCTGGCAGCAGCACACACCACAGCCTTCCCTGGGACAGCACCAGGGCTGCACAGCAAGCAGCACTGCTGACCACCCTGTCCCAGAGGGGATAAACAGCCACACAGCAGAGCAGTTGCAGGTTAAGACCCAATGCTGATGCAGTCATTAGAACTCCCATGACCCCAGGACAACTGCATGGGAACCCCAGAAGCTGCCAGGACCAGAGTTTCCAATTAGAAGTTGCCAAAATGGTGCAGTTGTGAATAAGGTCACTCCAGTTCTAAGATCAGCCAAGCTACTTTGAAGAGATGGGATGGGGACTACAGCCAGGTCTCTTGACCTGGTGTGGTAAAACACATAGCATAGTCTCCCAGGAGCATTAAGAGTCAAATGGAAACAGGACAGAAAAGATTTAATGAAAGATGAAGGGAACAGACACAACAAATTAGAAGAAGAGATTGAAGCCAGGGCATGGTTATCTTGGCAAAGCCAAGAGGTGATAGAATTGTGCACTGCAATTTCAACAGGCCATTTATCTCCAACAAGAGCAAAAAACTATTTCAGCTCAAGGCAATAATCTTAACGTTGCCAATAAAGAGAGGCTGGAAAATAACAAAAAGATTGCAGCTATCAGAGGAGCTCAGTCCTGAAACAGCCTCTTAAGAAGGAATAAAGACAGGCAAGTAAAGCACCAAAGTGGTTTAAAGATGGAGCCAGGCAGTTTATTAAGGTATCTGCAAGCCAAGGCTGTGCTTTGTCCCAGTGTGGCTCCTCTTCAAGGTTCAGCAAAGGGTCTGTGCTGCACCAGGTGTGCTGTGCATGCAAGAGCCTCTCCCCAGCACTGCTCCTTTCTGTGTTTGGGAGGAGGGGAATGTGCCCTGCAGGACCCCCCCCAGAGGCTCTCTGAGAGGTGCTGTGGGCCTGCTGGCCCTGCAGCTGCACCAACAGCCCCTCCACAGCAGCAGGCCCAGGGTGGCCTGGCTCACTGCCCAGGTCTGTGCCAGCTCCTGCTCAGCGTGGGGTGAGCAGGGAGCTTCACTCCTCACCTGGACACAGGTGAGGTCCCCGAGGCACCTCCACAGTAGCAGAAGGATTCTTCAGCTTTCACAGGAAGCAATCCACTCTCAGATGAGGGCATGGTGCCTCTTAGCCACCATAACCTGCATTCTCATTCCCTCCCCACTGCTGTAGGGCACTTTGTCCGGGCCTTCTGCTAGTATGGGTAACCCCTGCAGTTACCATCTCAGGAGGAGACTTCCATGTGGTCAGACACACCACAGTCCCAAATCGTTGCCTAAGGGTTTCATCCTCAGTGGAGGCTGTGCTCCAGCCATGCCACAGCCCCTCTCTCACCTTCCTGATGTGATCCAGGAACTCAGGGGCAGAGAGGCATTCCTGAGGGCTGGCAAACTGCTTGCAGTTGTACTGGAAAAGGGGCAGCAGGTCAGGATCCAAGTCAAACAGCCTGCAAGAGCAAGAAAGAACACCCCATCTTCTTACTTCCTCAGCTTTATATAAAGTGCCACTCACCCCATCAGCAGCACACCCACAGCCTGCTTCTGCCTCTCTTCCCACCTACTGATCCATCTCCATCTGTAAAAGGTCCAAAAGTTCTGAAAGTTTTAGTTGGGGTAATCCAGATTGCCTATACACAAAAACATTTCTGTTTCTCTAGCCCATAACCCCAGCTCTCAGACACATATTTATGGCACTTGAGAACTGGCACCCAACCCTCTGCAGTGTCTTCCAGCCTGCACCTTCTCCTCAAAGAGTTGGCTGTTATCTCAACTATTCCCATTCCCACTTTTTGATGCTCTTGAACCCAAAAGCTCCCAAATCGGGGAAGATCCAGCAGCCATCTGGACCAAGGGAGGAATGTACAAACTCAGCTGATGCCCCATCCCCAGCACCATCACCAGCTCCCATGTCTTCTCCCCCTGCCCCCTGCCCCATCTCCCTTGCCAGGGTGCATCAGGCACAAAAGGGACTCAGTAGCAGCCACCCAGGTAGATACAACTGGCCACCAGTAATTCAGGCAAGACACGTCTGTCTTCTCCTTATCCTGCACATTAAACTACTGCACCCCTCTCCCCCACATTCTTGTCACTGCTCTAGTCCTGCTCTGGGAGATCTGGATCCCTCTCACTCCAAAAGCTGCTCATCAACTTTCCAGTTGTCCTTTTTAAACGACTTTTCATTGATTTTTCCTTTTTTCTCTTCACATAATTAATACATTAATCTGCTGGGGAGAGGCAAGAAGCTGGGTATCAGCCATTCCATCAGGCACACCATTTCTTCTGCCCTGAGACTGAATCCCTCCCTGGCGGCCAGGTCCGTTCCTGGGGCCGCACAGCCCTTCCCTGGTTCGCAGCCCCTCGGAGAGCAGGAGTGGCGGTGTCAGGGCGGGGGATCAGCGGCAGGAGCGCACAGAACCCCCCCGCCGCCTCTCTCGCTCTCCGTCTCGGCTGGCAAAGTTCTCCCTGGCGAGGGACGGGCACGGCAGGGCGGCAGCGCCGAGCGGAGCCCCCGGGCCCTGCCCCACCCGCTGCCCACGGCACCTGCGGCTCCCCGCGGGCCGCCAGCCGCGGGCGGGGACAGGGGACAGGGGCCGGGCCGGGAGCGGGCCGGAGCCGTGCCCAGCGCAGGGAAGCGTTTTTCCCCGAGGAGCGGAGCCCGTCCATCCCTTCCGCACGGGTCGGCGCGGCCGGGGCCGGGTGCGGGGGGCGCATCGCGCCGCTCACCTGCTGAAGAGGACGAGGCCGTGCTGCTCGGGGCTGCCGCTCAGCCGCCGCCAGCTCTCCCGGATCAGCGCTCGCTGCCCGCCCGACAGCGGCATCCCGCTCTCCATGGCGGGCCGGGGGCGCTGCCCCTGCCCCGAGGCGCGGCGCTGGCTCCGCGGGCGGAGGGGCCGGAGAGCTGCGGCCGCCCTCGCTCGCTCCGCCGGGAGCGGCAGCGCTGCCCCCGCGCCCCCGCCACGGCCGCAGCCGCGCTCCGCCCGCCCGCACCGCCGAGCCCGCTCCAGCCGCGCCGCCCGGCCGGGAAGGGAGAGCTCGCCTCTCACCGAGTGCTTCTCACTCGGGACAAGGAAGGAAGGAGGGATGGAAGGAAGAAAAAATAAATTCGGAATGCCCGAACCTCCCTATCCCGGGGCCGCGGGGCAGAGCAGAAAGTTCAGCTGATTTACGGTTGACATTTTCCGTCGTCCTGATTTTACAAGTGAAGCAGCCTGGCAGAGCCGTACCAGCGAGGAGACCACCGGGACCTGGCCACCTTCAGTCACCACCAGCACAGCTCCCTCTGAGCGAAACTTTGCCTGGGAGGGCCCCAGCGATGCTCCACAGCATCCTCTTGCTTTTGGCCACTTCCACTGAGACCCTGGATGCCACATAGCCACCTGCTGTCTCCACAGGCAGATGCAGTCTAGACACTGCAAGGTACGTGTCTAATTTAAGGCTAATTATGCCAGCTGAAGCAGGCAAAGTTGTTAATAACGGATGAGAAGACATGACATCTTTGTCAAATGTGTTCAGGATGCACAGACTCTCTTTGCTGTTCAGACACTGCTTAATTTGGCCACAGGATTTATGCAGAACAGAGGAAACAAAGCAAGAAATGGCAAATGAGGACCCAAGCAGCACAAAGGAAGTCAGGAAAGTTAAGGTTTCAGAAGGAGAGAGCAATACAAACGTGCAACTATTACTGAAACCATCACAGTCTGCACCAAAATGACAATTGTGCTGATCTTATTACAAGCTCTGCTTCTGTACATCAGACTTATTTCTGGTAATCAGGAGAAAAGACAGAAACCTCCGACCCATCCCAGAGGCACGTTGACTAAGTGTAGGCAGAAAGGAGGCTCTTCTTGTGGGAGAATTGAGAACATTCCCGGGGAGGAGACAAGTTCAAAGGCTCAGTGTTATGTTTTCAGCCCCAGCTTGTCTCCCAGGGGCCTTTCTCCTACAGAGCTGGAGTGACAGCACCGACTGCAGTGACAGCAGGAAGCCACCTGAGATGGCTCTGCAAGTGCCAGGATAAATTACCTGTTTTCTCAGGATTTTGAGACCTCACATTCTCAGCACAGACCAGACAAGATGCTGTGCAGGAAAAGCTCCACATGTGTTAAAGGAAGCTAAAGAATCCTGTCCTAAAATTGGGCACTTGAGTCAGAACTGATGGGACTGAGGAGTCCGCTAAAACAGCCTCTTGGATGTGTGGTTTCAAAGGGCATCTTCCCACGGGGGGCTGATGATAAATCACTGCTGTGATAACCGCTGAAGCGGCAAGGAGCCCGAGAGGGCAGCTGGGAGCTGCAGGGTTAACCCGAGCAGGGCGGAGAGCAGCCCGGCAGCGACACCGCGAACATTCACCTTCAGCTGTCCTGCGGCTGCTGGAGCGAGCCGGCAACTAGCCCCAAGTGTCATCCTTGGTCCTCTGGGCAAGGTACTCTGACATCCCAGCCGCCTGTCACAGGCACGGAGCTCCACAGAGCCTGGCTGGACGGTTCAGCCCGGCCCTGCTAACAATAAAGGTAGAACAGACAGGCAGTGCCGTGGTGCCAGCGGGCTGGAAAGGAGCATGGAGAGTCATCCCAGGCCACAGGGTGCTGAGGAGCAGAGCTGAAGCACATATGTGCAGTCACAGCAGCAAACAAGGCTGATTACTTGCTTAAGAACATTTTGAATACATTTGCAGCTGGCTGATAGTGAAGGAGGAGAAACTCCACAAAAGCAAGTTGTAGTTAAGAGTGATCAGTTCCTGAAGATTTTTTGGGATGTGGGACACCTTTGCTCCCATCCATATAGGGCACCCTATCAGCTACCCTATCCCAGGGCAAGAACAAAGTACAGGTTCAGCCATTGTTTCTGACAGAAAGGGTGTCTCAGACAATAGCAGTGAAGCTGGGATGGCAAAAGAAAACGGTGGCTCTTGTCCAAAATGATGTCCCTGCACCTTCCCTCTGTTCTGCAGGTAGCAGCAGAACACTCATAGGCAAGGGACAAGTGTCAGAACAGATAAAAGGGCAGCAATAAGAGGGCTGAGAGACTGAGACTGACATGCCTTCCTTCCATGGAAAACAGGAGTGCCTCAGCTGAAGAAAGGGGCAATGGTCTGGCCATATCCCCACCCACCTGTTGGTACCCAGACTGGTACCCAAACCCCACACAGGCATGACAGACAGTAGAATCCAAGAACTCTTCCCTGCCCACCAGCAACAGCTCCTTCTGGGTAGGATACATTCAGGAGCAGTTTCCCCATCTCCCCTGACTGTCTGAACAGTGAATCCACCCCTTTGCTGCCTTCTGGCACTGATACATCCCCACTCTCCTGAAAAGCCCAGTATTTTTTTCCCCTGTGAGAACATAGGTCCTCCAGCACAGGAAGAAAGACCTGCAAGGAGGGACTTGAGAAGGGAGACAGGGAGAGCTCAGGGATAAGAAATGTTCAAAGCACCACTCAAAGGATTGAAAAGACCAAGGGTTTGAGAGGGACAGTGCTCTTGCCTGTGTGCAAAGCAGCTTCTCCCTTGCAGTTATGTGGCCGTCAGAGCTCCTCCTGCTGTCACAGCACCAAGGTGCTGAAAGCACAAGTCTAGAGAGGATTTCAAGTTCAAGGAAGCAAACAAGAAAACCTTTCTTCTTGTTCCAAATGTTTTGTGAGCCTTCAAGCATGAGAATCTCAGCAAGAGGTTGAGCACTGCAATGCTCTGAGGTCTGAGGGTTTCCTGTGATGGTTCCCAGCTCCCTTGGCTCCATGTACCTAACCTGCAGTTCAGCTCTTTTCTGAGCTCCTCTTGGATTCCTGCAAGACTGTCCCTGGAGCTCTCAGGAGTGAAGAACAACCAGGTCAGCAGCACAGACTGCTCCATCTGCAGGCCTCTTGAAGAAAGGGGAGGGAGGTTTTTGGAGAAATTCACTGAGATGCAAAGAGAATGATAATGCTCTTTTGTGCTTTGGGAGAACACAAATTTATCATATTTTTAGTTTGCTCTGGGTTTCATTATGGTAATCTACATCCACTTTGAGTACCAACACTCTTAACCTCCTTGCCAAGCGTCAGCTTTACTTGCTCAGTGCCTCAGTTTACCCACATGGAAAGAGAGTTGCCCAATCTCATAAAACAGAGTGACAGAACTAGGAGTAAGCTCACAAAGTGAGCCCAGTCCCCAGCCCAGCACTCAGGGTTCACAGGCCCTGAAGAACAACCCTTCCTGCCCAGGGAGGCCCTGTGTGCCTGGCCAGGGATGACTGCTCTGCCTGTGCTGCTGTGGCACCATCAGTTCTCATCCCAGCTGCTGCACTAACAAACCCATATCTCCCTTTGAACTCTTGCTCATTTCCAATTCTGCATCTGTGAGTCTTCATAAATAATGACACTCTGATCTATCTGCCTCAGGCTCCCTGCTCTCTTAGGATACAGACTCCTGGGCTTGGCTAATCCCCTCTGTTTCCCCTTTTCCCCAGTCTCAAAGCCAGATTATGACAGGTTCTCTTTTTCCCAGACTCCCTTCACCTCCCATCCCATCCTCAGGTGGGGGCAAAAATCATGCAAGGTTCCCAGAATTCTTCTCAAGCAACCCCTCAGGCCATGGTGCAGCACAGCTCAGTAGCAAAGCCAGCCATGAAATATGGTTGCATAACAAGAATCAAAAGTGATGCAGGAGGTGATAGTGTTGTCCATAACATTTAGATGAGCTGCAGAGCTTGCTTGCTGTCACCATGCCTGTGGAGAGAACAGGGCAGCACTACCACTCTCAGTGGTGGGGATCTGGGCTAAGAGGAGAGGGACAGGCAGAGGGGGATTCAACCGTAGAATAGAATGAAAACTTCTTTTGAATTCAATTTGCTAGACATCCCCAGCTTTATCCTGACTATCCTGTGGCCAGCTAAGGAATATTTGTACAGACAGGTGAAAACAGTCATGGATGACCAGAAACAAAGTGGAGAGAAAAGTCAAAGGGAATCACACGGAACTGTTGGACCAAGTCTGGCACTTGCAGATGCTCAGACCTTACCCCAGATGTTATTTACCTTGGGCACCCTAGCACAGTGATAGCCCAACACCAACATGTTTCTTCCAAGAAGCAACTCTGCCTTTTGTAAGGCACTCTGCCAAAGTGAGTTCAAAGAGTTCAAGACCATGTCAGTCTTGACACACAAGCTAAATTGGGTCACAGGACACAGTTATGCAGTTGTGTGCACCCCAAGCTGGTGGGATGCAAGCAAAAAGCTCTCCAGCCTCATTAGCTCAACATGGTGCTCTAGCTAATGTGCCTGGCAACTTGGCAAGCATTGTGTTAGCACAGTTACCTGGCTTCTGTCCTACCTGGGATGATGCACGTGGTCTTGGATCTTCCTCCGATTGTCCTTATGCATCTGGACTGGCTCATCCTTATGCTGCTGAAACATCATGGCAAAAGCTTGTAAAAGAGTGCTTTATTCAATGTGGAGTCTCCTCTGTAGTTTCCCCCCAGGATTTCTTGTTTCAGAAGCACTGCTGCTCTCTCAAGCGGTCATCGATCATCTTCTCTCTGATCTCAACTCTCTTTGTTCTCTCCCTCCTTGCAGTTTTAATTGACACTATTGATTAGGCCATCTCTGATAAATGTTTGACCTACAGCAGTTGTCTCCAGGAATAGCATCTTGGATATGATCTATTAAAACAAAGATTGTGTATTTCACTGCACCATTCCTTCATGTCAGGGCTGTGCTAGCATTCCCACATTTCAGCTTTGCACTCAGCCATCTGGTCTCAAAGCAAACCCCCTGTATTATTCCTTCTATGTGTGGGACACTTCTGGCTTGAGACCTTCTCCTCCTCACCTAAGCCATTACAGCTTTGGGGCTTTGTTAAAAATAATTCTCCTGTTCAGTGAGGAATTTTTCACCTGCAAACTGCACTGCTAGGTTCACCACTAAACCGTGTTCCCAAGTGTCACATCTATGTGG